TTAAATCATATTTTTAGAAAAAAGTACAAATGTTAAAACAAAGATTGAAATGGTTTTTTAATGCATAAATTAAATAGACTTTTCAAGCATTTTAGTTTAATGAGTTTTGTTTTAGTTGGGTTGTATATATATTTATTTTTTTGTGTTTTGTTTTAACTGAGTATTTTTTTTATTTTTTTTTTCGTTATGATTTTTTTTCCTTTTACAATTTTTTTTTAGATAAGTTTAGGTAAGTTTTTGTATCGCATTTTTAAATTTTGAAAAGCTGTCAAATCATTAAAACATATTATTTTTTGCATGGTCATATAAAGACATGAAATCGCACACCTTCCTGTGAAAGACTGATAAAGTAACTGTAGTTTTGGGTCTAGTTACATAAGTGTTATGTAAATCAATAATAATATTTATTTGGTAATCTAAACTGCCTAATTTTTTAAAAAGGACCTTTCTACAAAATTCAACGGTACGGTCTGATAGGTGATGAGTAATCTGAAAATTTAGAAAAAATTGTTGCAAAATAAAAGTAGTTCACATGTTAAGACATTCTAATATATAGTTATCCAGGTCAATAGTTCATATTTATTCCATAATGCTGTAATTTATTACTCATTAGCGTAAATGTTGATTATAAAAACAAGTTAATTTCAAATAATGTTTTAATTACATCTCTGGTATTACAATACAATATTATTGTATTGTAATGAGTTGTTATATTTAATTGTTACAATTACAATTACAAGTCTAAAGGTCAGTTTCCACTCGTCCGTTTTTCCAAGGGAACGGGAAAGGGATGGGAAAGTTAATCACGTGAGCATGCGCAGTTTGTGATTTAATTTTCCTGTGGCTTAGTTTTTCCCATCATATCGGTTTATGGGAAAAGTAGATTTCAAATCAACTTTTTGCCGAGAAAAATCAAATAGCAAAACAAGCAGCCAATCGCATTGCTACAATTTTTGAAAAATGAAAACAAGAGTTGGAAAAGTTGCTAGAGAATTGTAATTTTTTCGGAAACGATAATTTCGTCGTAAACATTTATTAGTCTATAATTATGCCTGTAATATATTAAAATTTTTTACGCATATATTTTTAGTGGCATACTATGACGCAAAATAAAAATCATTGAGATATTTATTTACTTACAATTGCAATTTAATGTCAGTTTTACTGCTATTTTAAATGTATAAATATTCAAATAATCTTAACATTAAACCTAAAGTACACTGTCCAATAAACAATATTGAATATTAAAAATCTAATTTAATGATGACCGAATTGAACGTGGATTTTTCAAGAATGTCACAATATGTTTGTTCCAACAAACAAGAACTTGGAGGCTCATTTAATAGAAGAAGTGAGAAGGTTTCCGTGTTTATGGGACACAACAACTCGCGCATATAAGGAAACGCCTTTAAAAGTTGAAGCGTGGAGGCAGATATCTACTTTATTAAATGTAGACAGTAAGCTATTTATTTTGTCAAGTAAATTTTATCAAAAATATGTCTAAATATTAAAATAACCTATTATACATAATATAACATGATAACCGTAAACTATTTTTATTGTGTTTTTTTTTTAACAGAAAAAACTCTGACTTCAGCATGGACAAAGCTGAGAGAAAATTTTCGTAGATGCCTAAACTGACAAAAAAAAGGCTACCATGTCTGGAGCTGGTGGGGATCAACAACCATCATGCCAGTTCTTCACAGAATTATTGTTTTTGAAAGATGTGATTGGGGTAAAATTGACAAGTACAAACATAAAATGCGATATTTTTGCAACACCGCTTTCAGTTGAACACAGAGAACTTGAAAATATAGACAATTCGATAAAAGCATCAAGTTCAAGACTTTAACAGAAAACAAAACAATTGTACATTCAATTTCATCCCCACAGACGAATATATCGACGCCAAATCATATGAAAAAAAAAATGAAAATTGATCCATTACAAGTTGCCCTTGAAAAGGCCATATTGCTTGATGTGGAGCAAAATAAAGTGATAGAAATTAATAATAATGACCCAGATGAGCTATTCTGTAAAAGTTTAGTGAGCTCTTTTCAAAACCTTTCAAAAAAGAAAAACAAAATAGCAAAAATAAAAGTTTTGAAAATCCTCCGGGAAATGGAAAGTGACAAAGAATAAAAATGTACAACTAAATTTTCGAATAAAATATATTTTATATACTAAGATAATAGTTATTTTTCCATTCAATATACATTTAAAGTAAAAAATAAAACAATTCAAAAGGGAATAAAATAACTTAACATATTTATTATATGCAATAATATATATATATATATATATATATATATATATATATATATATATATATATATATATATATTTATATGTATATATATATATATATATATATATATATATATATATATATATATATATATATATATATATATATATATATATGGTATATATATAATATATACGGTATATATATATATATATATATATATATATATATATATATATATATATATATATATAATATATATATATATATATATATATGTACATATATATATACATATATATACATGTATACATATATATAAATCACATTATATCTATATATGCATGTGAATGTATATATATAGTGTATATATGTATATATATATATATGTATATATATATATACATATATATATGTATATATATATATATATACATATATATTTTCATATATGTATATGGTATATATATAATATATATATATATATATATATATATATATATATATATATATATATATATATAATATTATATACATATATATATAATATATATATATACAAAAATATATATATTTATATATGCCATTTATTTATATATACCATATACATATATATATATACATATATATATATATATATATATATATATATATATATATATATATATATATATATATATATATATATATATATATATATATATATATATATATATATATATATATATATAGTATATATATGGTATATGGTATATATAAGTATATTATACATATATATTTATATTGTATTATATGGTATATATATAAAATATATATATATGTATACATACATATATAATATATATATATATATATATATATAATTTATATATGTACATATATATATATATATATATATATATATATATATATATATATATATATATATATATATATATATATATATATATATATATATATATATATATATATATATATATATATATGTACATATATGTAAAAAGAAAAGAAACTTTATTCTTGATCAAACATATTTTGAGTAGGAGTAACCATATCATATTGCCATGGAATCTGTCCTTGAGGAGAACTAAAAAAGTCTCGAAATAATTCCCTGACTGTTTTTGCATCGCGAGTATAATTATTTGAGCCTAATTGTTTTTGTAAATTAGTTAATCCTTGGTAATCCGAAATATTACTTCGCCATTCTCCAGCTTGCAAACCAGAGGATGTTTCATAATCTACAAATTTTGAAGGGCAATATTGATTTAATGGTTCAAACTGACGACCATGCATAAGGTAGTTATGAAGAGCATTTGCTGCTTTAGTAACATTAATAACAACTTCTTCTTTTGCAATAATTGGTTTACGAAAAATTCTGCACCGTGCTGCCAAAATCCCAAAAGTATTTTCTATTATTCTGCGTGCTCGTGACAATCTATAATTATATATTCTTTCCTTCAAAGATAATATTTCTCTAGGGTATGGCTTCATAAGATATTTCTTGAGAGGAAATGCCTCGTCTCCAATGAGAACATAAGGCAGTTTTATACTTGAACCAGATGGTTCATTGGGTTCTGGGATATGTAATAGTTTTGTTTCAAAAGCAATTCCCATCTTACTGTTTCCAAATACACCACCATCACTGTTCCTACCAGTATCACCAATGTCTACAAGAGTGAATTCATAGTTTGCATTGCAAACAGCCATCAAAACAATAGAATGCGATTTTTTAAAGTTAAAGTAGAAAGAGCCTGATCTTGAGGGGGCTTGCATAACTATATGTTTCCCATCTATAGCCCCTATACAATTAGAGAAGTTCCATTTCCTTTCAAACTCATTTGCTATAAATTTCCATTCATTTTCACTTTTTGGGTAGCTAATATATTCTTTAGATAACAAAATAGTCCATATAGCAATAGAGGTTTCGTTAATAATTCTTCCTATCGAAGTCGAACTTATTCGAAACATACCAGCTAGATCTATTTGCGAAGTGCCTCCAAAAATGTATCTCAAAGTGACCATTAATCGTTCACTAGCTCCAATTGTTTCAAGCCTGAGGGAAGATTTTGTTATCACCGGTGCTATCAGACTTAGAAATTGCTCATACTTTGTAGGTGTCATTCTAAAAAACTTAAAAAAATATTCATGTTCGAAAAGTTGCATATCTTTTATAAATAAACTGAATGCTCCTTTTGATTTTCTCTCTCTAAATAATTTTCTGACCCACATCCGCTTTTTATACTTTTGTCTTTTTTTGATTTTTAAATAATATAGTAATAACATATATAAAGTTTTTTTGCTAAGGATCGATAAAACCGCCATTTTTATTAATTTGCTATCATTTTTTAAAATTTTACGAGTACAAGTGGAAATGGATATATCCTATCCGATCTGTTCGAAATCTTGTTTTTATCCCATCCCTTTCCCTTGGAAAAACGGACGAGTGGAAACTGACCTTAAACCCTAGATCTGAAAAATATAAATATTTCAAAAGACTTAATGAATATTATTATTGCTATTTCAAATATATTAAATTTTTCTCCTACCCAATATGGAAAGTTAATGCAAAATTTTTTTAAATCTTCAAGATGATTTTTAATAAAAGGTAAAATTTAATTTGAAATTATTGCTATTTCAAATTGAAATTTAATTTGAAAACCAACAAAATACAAGTAAACCACCAAAAACTTAACTAGTCAAACAAACCAAACATCATAATAAATTTTGTTTTCATTATGTAAATAATATTTACCGAATTTCCCATGGACGAGAAGTAAAAGCATATGGCTTTGAAGTTAAAGCTCCAACAGGACAAATGTCTAAAATAAAAAAATATACAAATTTTTATATAAATGTTTAATAGAAACATTAAAAACTTAATCTCTCATGCTTATAAATCTAAAGAATTTAATCTTTAAAAAAAACACTCTTATAAAACTTAAATTTTTTATAGATTTCTATAATAAATGAAATTTTTAATTTTTTTTTTTTTATAATAGTGCTATAATCAAATTAAATTTGTTTACTAACCCATACAACAGAAAAATTAAAAGAAATATGCGGAGAGTGATTTTTTGACTTGACATAATTATTTTTATTTTTAGTATAAGATTTTAAATTTCTTGAAAAAAAAATCGTTAAAAATATTATCAGATTCATAATTTGTTTTTCAAAAATAATAGATATAAATATTGAAATTTAAGAATAAAATTTTTTAAAATTTTTAAAATTGCCTTTTATTGAATAATCATTAGACGGTGATTTTTTGACATTTTAGATTTAAATTGATTTTTATTTTTAATGTTTCTTGATGGAACTAATACTTAAATTAAATTAATAAATTTCTGACCATCAACTTAGTTAATAGTTATTTAAAATTTATTAATAATTGCAAAAATATTATTAAAAATATTAAATACCTATAATATTTCCTGAAAGTTCTGATTTGAACATCTTTTCAACATAAGTGCCAATTTGCATATCTCCTCCACGTCCCGTTGTTCCAAGTGTTTCAACACCAGCAATTTCATTACCAAAACTAAAAATTATATGTATATAAGTTTGTTGAGGATTTGTTAAGGATTTAATAACTTGACTTTTTTTTTTTTAATGTTGTTACAGCTTAAACCTATTACTCCATAACATAAATCTTAAAATACAACAGTTGAGTATGGTACCTCCAGGGATATAGTGAACCAGCATTAATATAGTAAAGTGTTTATAAAAATTAAAGTTTCATAATATCTACATATATTTATTTATAATACTTCAGTCATAACACTTTCAAAACGAATATGCGTATAAGCTGTGATCATTCTTAATCATGTTGTTTAATTAATAGATCATAAATTTTATAAACTCAACTATTGATAAACACAAAAGAAGAGAAAAAGCAAACTTAGTAAAAATTAAATAGACTGAAAAACAAGAAAACTAAATTAGCAAACTAAATTAGCTGGAAAAAACTAAAAATATCTTACTAACCATAAAAAAAAAGCTGAGAATAAAAGACAACTTATATCAACTGCAGTCAAATTTAGATTCATACATACATACATACATACATACATACACACATACATACATACATACATACATACATACATACATACATACATACATACATACATACATACATACATACATACATACATACATACATACATACATACATACATACATACATAGTCAAAACACATATTGCTTTCAGAGGAAAAAAAAGTATTTTATAGGTCTGATGACCTATTTATATATATATATAACTATATATAAATATATATATATATATATATATATATATATATATATATATATATATATATATATATATATATATATATATATATATATATATATATATATATATATATATATATTATATATATATAAATGTTTCAACTGCTATATGTTAATATGTTAGAGCTAAGTTTGTCATATGCACTATGAGCAATAATCAGATCATTAGTAACACTACACCATCTTGTATAATTGATATTGTTTTCTCTTCTTGGGTAAGTTGATCCATCATTTTGTTGTTTACTTCATTGTAAACTTTTTCTTAGAGCTTTCCTCCAAGCATTTTAAGGTTAGGTGGGTTATATCTTGGTCTCAATAAATCAATCATGCTTATAAATTCTTGATTTTCAGAAGTTTCAAATAATAGATTTGCACTGAAGAAAAATTCTGCAACTTTTATATCAATATTTTCTTTCTGTTCCATATTAGTTAATATTGTGTATGATGACATCATCTGTTGCTTCTTACAAGGTGTTAACGAACTTGTAGAACATTGTCGAAGAACTTGTTCCAACTTGAGATAATGGTCCAGCTATCAGAGCAGATGTACTGGTATTTAAACTATTATTTGGAAATACATTATCACAATTTTTATTCAAATATTTTGATAGATTAAGCATGATCTTCTGTATACTTGTTTAAAACTTCTGTATGCTTGTGTAAAAAAAATTTTTTAGCAATGTTTTGAATGGGGTTTTAACCGTTCTACCTTTGTACTCTTTTCTAATTCAGTTACTTCCTCCCATTCACCATCCTTCTTTCTCTCACTTCCCATTGCCATAATTAATTATAAAATAATTTTTTTTTAACTTTAAAATAAATTAATACACATAGATTTAACAATTTTTCAAATTATTTTCAACCTTTTTGAAAATAATTTGAAAAATTCTTGTTATAAATTAATAAACAACTTTATATAATATATAAATTAAGTAAAAGTAGAAAGAATTATTAAATAACATTATACATATAAATTAAGTAAAAGAGGTTAGGGGTATAACTATCAAGTTTTGCCCCTTTTGGTTTATGTTTATATAAAATGTCTAAAATTACCATAAAACTATTATTATGACTATAATGTATATGATTAATTCTAATTATTAATTAAAATTATTTATATATAATAATTAACTATTACAATTAATTAAACGCCTATTTAATAAAAATAAAATTAAAAAAAGTCTCCCAAAATTCAATATTGTTGGCTCAATGTTATTAAAGAGAAATCCTAACGGGCATGTAAAAAGGTTGTTTGTTTAAAATTATGATGGGTCAAAATAAAAAGATTAACAGTTTGGAATAAACTTGGAATAATGGTTTGGAATAAACAGTTTGGAAGAAAAATTATTTTTTTCGAAAATGATTGAAATAACTATACAGGAATATAGATGCAGGTGTTGTTTTAAAATATTGAATAAAGTCAAAAATAACTGTGGAACATCTATATACATATTTTTTCAGAAACAAAGATCCTTAATGAAATACAAGAAACAATCAACAAAAATACTATTGAGCTTGGCACACATTGCTGCTTGTATTGAAAGTGCACAGAGAAAGGAGGAGGAAATAAATTCACTGTTAAGTGGGTTTATAGAGACTCAGTTGTTTGATTTTCAAACAGAGAACCTTGAGTTGCGTGAAGTTTGAAACAAATCAAGTGTCAGATTTTCCACCGATTATTGAACAAAATGAATATAAGTCACTAAAGTAGTTTAAAAAATAATTAATAAAGCTAAAAAGAAAGCGAAGAAAGAAGCAAAAAAAATGCAACAATTTTGGTGGATACCTCCATCAACTGCTTCTCAACGCTATTGCTTTGTATGCCACATTTAAAAGTCTTCAAAAAATTTTAAATTCTTTTTAGGGCAAGGTATTATTGACGCTTATGTACAAAAAATATTATACACACTAGATCAAGATGTTGTGGAGAGCACTTGAATGAAGTTGAATTATTAAATAATGAAGCTTTAAATCAACTGGTTGTTGTTAAAAAGAATGTAAAACTAAATGCATTAGAATTTAAATCTTTATTAGAGATGTTTCAATATTGCGCTCAGCATAGCAGTTTATTTTCAAAGTTTTCTGATATTTTAAAACTACTTGAATCTATTTGCCAACGAACTACTGGATATATCAATAGACAACAATTTGAAGAACTAAGCGTAGATTTGATTTCACTCAGAAACACCAGTAATAGATGTAAATCTCAATTTCTAGCCGTCTTTCTGATTTGGCTTTCTGAAACTGGCCTTGATCAATACACAATCGCTGATTATTTTGGCATTGACTCTTATTTTGAAGTATCCAATATCTGCAACAAGTTAGAAACGCTTTTGTCAAAGATTTTACCCCTAATAACTTAGAAGCAGGTCATATAACAAGAGGTAAATGGTTAACAAATAACAGTGGAATGGCCAAAGAAATGTTTAATGCTAAAGAATCTCAGTTGATATTAGTTGTCGATGGAACATACTGCTATTGTCAAAAGAGCAACAACAACTATTTTTAACGAAAAACATTCAGCGTACAGAAAAAATATTTGGTTATTTTCGATATCAAATGGAAAAATTGTAGATGTATTTGGACTTCATGAGGCAACAAAAATTGACGCTTCAATCATGAATGATGTACTTCTAGTCGACTAAAACCTTATAAAATTGCTTTATCCTGGTGACATAAAATTATTTGATAGAGGCTTTTGAGACTGTTATGATAAATTAAGAAATACATGCATAGAAAAAGGTCAAAAACAATTGACAACATTACAAACTAATCAATCTAGAATGGTTACCAAGTGTTGTGGGGTAATAGAAGTCACAAATTTATTTCTAAAAACATCATTTAGAGCCTTAGATAAAGTGCACAATAAATGTTTGCCTCACACACTCACTAACTACAGAATCAAAACCATCCCTTATTAATAGATTTTTCGAGCACCTTCACTCAGACCAGGATGACAAACAAACAATTATTAAAAACGTAAAAGTAAAGCTTCATTTAGAGAATAGTTTGGAAAAGCTGGTCAAAACTACAAATCTAAACAAAAAGAGTTTGTTTGTAAACATTGAAGCAGCGCTTGTACTTGATTTTCCAAAATTGCTTGAAGAAACAATTAAAAACAAAATAACTTTAGGCTCATATCAACTTAGAAAATGCTTAAGCTACATTTCGGAACATTTCAATAAAGGTAAATATGAATTGGCTATATAAGATAGTGTTCATTCAATGGGAAATTGAAAGTTCTTAATCTTATTATCAGATCTGGTCATTCTGGTTCTACAAAGTATAAAGTGTATGTGCAGTATTTACCTAATACGAATGATGAAACTGGAATTGAAGGATGGTACTATACTTGTAAGTCCGGCATGAAAACCTTAGGTTGCTTCACACATATCGCTAGTGTAATTTATTATTTAACATGTGGAAAATAATTAGAGATGGTTCCAAATCCAGCTGGATTACTAAAATTCTTTTTTGACAATAGCGCTAAACCAGAAATTTCGATGTTGACACAAATTGAAACTTCGGAAGATGAAGTTTACAAGTCAGAAAAATTTAAAAAGTATTTTTAAAAAGAAGTCTAAAATTAATTTAGTTTCTTCTACAGTGTCATTTGATGATCATTCAAGCGTAAATGAAGATAAATCTATCAAGAATACAAAGAGTTCACTGTCTAGTATGCAAGATGTAGTCAATCCAAAGAATTTGAAAGTTAACAAAAAACAAAGTGAAAACTTGTGGTTTTTTAGTAAAATTCCTAAATGGGGAGGAAAGCTTACAAAATCGAATTTTAAAAAGTCGGTGAAGCTATTTAACACATGCACAATCGATTATATTTTACTCGCACTTTTAGACTTCAAGCAAGCTATCTAAGAACATATTGATTTAAAAAGAAAAAATTGCTTTTATAAAATTGCTTTCTTCTATAATAGGGTTTATTGATTCCAATGCTTGGGATAAAGCAAAAGGTGTTTGGCTTTTAGATGTTTGCAAGCTTTGTGTTTCTCAAGACGAAAATGGAAATCTCTCAATCTCTACATTCGGAACTGAAATGGAGTATTTTATTAATTTCATTAAGCCAATTCAGTCTTTTGAGTTACAAGTAGTTTTCAATAATCAATTGTGCATGCTAAGTTCAACTAGAACTATTAATGATCTCTACTTCTCAAAACTAGTCTCAGGGTTGGCAAAAAAAACCCAACCCAAAAAACCCACCTTAAAAAAACCCAATAAAACCCAAAAAACCCAAAATATATTTGGATTTTTTTTTAAATGTCCTATTTTACTCTTGTAAACACAGTATTTATATACAAAATGGTATTTGAAATATATCCAAAACCAATCAATCTGTTTTTGTAGCAAGTTGGTTATTATTTTTTTTAAACATATAGCAAGTTATTATAATTATTATTAAAATATGTTAACATTAAATTAGTTAAATATTTATAAAGGAAATAAAAATCATTCTATTAACTAAATTTCAAAGTACAAGACATTACTAGTTATTTTGTATCTTTATTCTCCTCTCGAATGTCTATATTTCCAAACAAGCGTTCCAATAAAGCTTATGTTGTAAACTGTAAATTTCGGTACAAAGCCACAACCAAAATACTATTAAACTTTATTCACAGTCTAGAAATGGAAAGTTGTCAGGCAAAAAAAAAAAATGCCACAGTTTACTAGACTTGACCTTATTAAGTGTATACAACTTTAAAACATAAAAAAAAAATATGTTATGTGCAAGCAAGTTTCATTCAATGAGAGAACATGTTGAAAACTTCTATACAGTTTACAAGGACAAGATTTGTTGGTAAAAATGATACTCATGCTTATCTGCCTATTTTACAGGTTTTGAATATTTTGCATCAGCTACAAGTTTACAAATGTACTGTCAACAAGGGTCACTATGAACAGCAGGTTGAAAATGAACATCAGTACCAAGTTTGCTAAAAGGTGAAGAAACACACAATAGAGCTATTTTTTGAAACTGAGCTGGTAAAACTTCTTCAAGTAAAAAAAAAAAAGAATCTGTTGATGAAGACACTGTAATGGTTATTAACAAATTCATTTTAGATATTTTAAGAACAATCAAATCTTAGGCACAAATCCATTTGCAAAACAAATCTACCCATAATCTAAAAATTAAAAATATTATGAAGTGTCATCCTGGATTGGCTAATCATTATTCTCTTAAAAAATTTGGATATAATTGCTAAATTGTTATAATTTTGTAAAAAGAAAAATTTTAAATATTGGTTACATTATTAAAGTTCTAAATATCCATGTTAGATTAGCTGAACTTCCTGTTTCTGATCATTCTTATGAAGATTGTCGATTGATGATGGAGGCCCGAAAACTTGGTTTACCGATGGAAGCTAATCTTTCCATTTTAAAAATACTAATATGATCTTATAAAGTAAGATAATTAAGATAATTACAGCATAATGTTGATCAGACCGATAACATTTCCAGGAAGCTGGACAGTATAATGTTCTGTTAAAAAAAAAGTAGTAATTAGGTTAACAGTTTTCTTCTATGATGCAAAAATGTTTAAAAAGTGTTTATAGTCATCCTGATTGACAATAATTTACAAGGTTGCAACATCATGTTTTAAACTTGTTGATTACATGTTTTAAAATTAGTTTTTGAAATAATATGTTGAGCATGTTAGTATAAAAAACTAGTTTACAACATTTATATTGTCTTACTAACTTTGAATAACTCAATTGTCATAATAAGTTTTATAGTGATTTTTTTTTTGTCAAAAACAATCTGAACATGTTTATAATTTAGTGCAATTAATTAACATCATTTATAGTTGATGGAGTCCCTTTTTGCACTATAGATATAATGCGCTAGTAGACTAGTGGTAAAACATTTGGCTTACAATCAGAAGGTAGGGGTTCAAATTACCTCTGAAATTACTGTGCTTAATCTATTTCTACGCACCCTTTGTTTAAAAACATTAATTGTTAATGTTGTTTGTTAGTAAATATGGTAATGTTAAGGATTGAGACATAACATTTTTTAAAAATGAGTTGCTTCCTTGACTTAAGTGGTCACTGGAGCAATAGGGAGGTGAATTTATGAAATTAAAAAAAAAATTATTGTATACATACAATTATAAAAATTTAGTATTTTGATTGGTTTTTAAAAAAACCCAATAAACCCCATTTGGGTAAGGTTTTTTTAAAAAACCCTGGGTTTTTTCCAACCTTGAATAGTCTTGAATTTTCTTCTAAAAAAGTGTTTTTACTGTTTACATCTATTTTCGATTTGCAACAACGTTAATGATGTTCTTACATTTCTTTTTATTGAGTCGGATATTAGAAATAAGTTAAATGTCCATCAACTACCGAATGAACTTTATATGCACTTTTTTTCAAAGTATTTTAAATTTAAAATCAAAACTCTATTTAGTAAATGATTTACAGAAACATGATTTTGATATCACTGATCATCATATTTCTCATATTATTTAGTTTGAAAAAGAAATAAAGTTACATGAATCACATCTATCTTATATTGTATTAGTGTTTTCCGAAGTGTTTTTGTGAAGTTTTTAATTTGAAAATAATTTTACATAATGTGTAAACATAGTTAAAAGTACTAGATAATATCTCTTTAATTTGGAATGTTGTTAAAAATTTACTTTATATTTCATAGATTTTTTTTTTTTTTTTTATTTTACTTCACCTCCTCAAGGCCGAGAAGGCCACTACAGACGAGGAGGCTACTTATTTTGTGGCTATAACCCTCTCTCAACTCTATAACTCCGAAACACGAACCTTGACGAACAAGGCCGCTGCGCAGAGAAACGAGTTGAGCGCGATACTACCAGGGACGTGGTGGGGATCGAACTCGGAACCACTCGTTTATGAAGCGAGCGCTCTACCACTACACCACTACCGCATTAGATTAGACTTTTATTACTTAATTCGATGTTAGAAACTTTAAAAAAAACCAACTGGGAAGCCATTTTAAACTAGACTTAGCAAAATTGAAATATCTACTCTCACCCCACTTGTGTGTGCAGGATTTTTTTGGTTTTTAATATTTATTAGGAGTTTAAGCAAACACAATTGGTGGTATACCTCTTTATACTAATTTTTAACATTATTAAACAAACAAAAAAAAGTTTTACTAATTTTCAATATTGTTAAACAAAAAAAAAAAATTATACTAATTTTCAATATTATTAAACAAAGAAAAGTTATACTAATTTTCAATATTATTAAACAAATAAAAAAAATTACAAATTTTCAATATTATTAAATAAAAAAAAAAATTACTAATTTTCAATATTATTAAACGAAAAAAAATTTACTAATTTTCAATATTATTAAACAAATAAAAAAAAATTACCAAATTTCAATATTATTAAACAAAAAGAAAGTTATACCAATTTTCAATATTATCAACAAAAAAAAAACTTATACTAATTTTCAATATTATTAAAAAAAAAGTTTTAACAGTTCCAAAATTATAAAACCTAAAATAACCAAAAAAAAACCACTGGGCCAGGTTTTTTTGGGTAATTTTAGGTTAAAAAAACGCAATATTGCTAATATTGTAAGAAACACATTTTAAGACAAAAATAATAAAAAACAGATTTTAAGACAAGAATTAGAAGAAACAAACTAATGAAGCAAATACAATGATAATTTTAATAAATTTTTAAAATTAATGTATAAAATATTCAAATAGTACCGAACACATCTTGTGCATTGAATACATCTAGTCATTATGGTTTTTACAAGTGGACCAATATTTTTATCTTCTATTGCACTAGAAAAATAAAAGAAATGATTTTTTTTATTAAAGAAACTTATTTTAAAATTTTAATGGAAATCAAACTAATCTCAAATTTTTTAAATATAGTAATTAGTGATCATCAGATGTAACCATCTGATGATCGCTATATATATATCATCTGATGATCATCAGATGATTGCTAGATAACCATCTGATGATCACTATATATGTGTATATATAAATATATATATATACGTATATATATGTATACATATATATATATATATATATATATGTATATATATATATATATATATATACATACATATACATATATATATATATATACATACATATACATATAGATATATACATAAATATATATATATATATATATATACATATATATATATATATATATATATATATATATATATATATATATATAAATATATATATATATATACATATACATATAGATATATATATACATATATATATATACATATATATACATATATATACATATATATATATATATATACATATATATATATATATATATATATATATATATATATATATATATATATATATATATATATATACATATATATATATTTATATCAGGCTTGGACAGGAATGGCATGTGATCGAGCGCTATTGCTGACCACACAATGATTTTATTTTTTGACAACTTGACCACGATTGGTTAATAAACAATGTTTATATGTTTTGATGAGTTAAAAATTTCAGAAATGTTCTGAATGTAGAAATGCTAAGCTAAACTTAAACTAGGAAAAAAATTAAAAAAAAAAACTAACAAAAAAAAAATTCCTAACCAAAAAAGAAACAAAATTCAGAACGAAAAAGAAATTGTATAAGCACTAAAATGAAAATAAAAACTTAAACTCAGCGCAAAACTTTTTGTTAAGTTTTTAATTACGTATGAAATAAACGTTATTAAAGCTTTTCTTTTTAAGCGTTATTAAAGTTTAGCAAAACGTTTTTAAAATAAGTAACATATTACTACTAATGATTGGTTCAATAAAAGAACAAACTTTATTAAAATTATTAAAAAGTGTTTTACATAATTTTTTTAAATTGAATAAACAATAATTTTGTCAAAGAAGTTGCAAAAAAAAAAATTGTTAAAAAAAATAACGTAGTCTTTTTAAAATAAAATTTTTTACTAATTTCATGCTCTAATTAGTGAGTCTAATTAAAGAAAAGGCTTTAAACTTTTTTATTCATAAAAATAGAAGAAAAAAATAAATAAATAAATAAAATGCACCTGCGATTTAAATAAATTAACTGCCAACAAGCAGTTAAATTATTTAAATCGTTTTAATTTAATTTTAATTTGAGCATTACAACTTTATTAACTAGCGCTTCACATAACTAATTTAAAAATTATTATAAAAGATTTAAACTCATTTCTAACGAAATTATAAAAAAAAAAAAAAAAATTGATTACAAAAAATAAAATGTTTACTTCAAACATTCTTAAAAATCGTAAGTTTAGTCATAAAAATTAATCGTATAAACATTACAAAATGCTTTAAAACTTTTTCATTAAGTCAACAAAATACATGCTTATATAAGTAAATAAAGTTATTTTATATTCTTGTGTAATTCACATAAAATGTGTAAAAGTTAGTAGTCACAAAAGCTTTTGAACTTATTCGCAATATAAAGTAACTTAAAAATATTCTTTCTAAAAACAATGGTTTAAAAATGTTTTAGAAAGACATAAGAAAATAGTTTCAAACATTTAAATTTATCATAAAAAATTAATGCCTACATAAAAAAAACTTATTTATAACAATTTTTATTAATTTACACAAGCGTTTATGTAAACTATAACTATAAATAATTTTATGGTTTTATTTAAAGCCTTGTCGTAAAATAACTTTAGAAAAGATCAACGGTTAAAAGATATTTATAGCGTAACACTTTTTTTTTGCATTCAGATTGTTAAAATATAAAAATAGCCATGGTCAAGTTGTAAAGAAATAAAAATATTAGCGTGGTCAGTTACAGAGTGCGATCGCACGCCATTCCTGACCAAGCCTGTTAATTATATATATATATATATATATATATATATATATATATATATATATATATATATATATATATATATATATATATATATATATATATATATATATATATATATATATATATATATATATATATATGTATATATATATATATATATACATATATATATATATATATATATATATATTTATATATATAAATATATATATATATGCAAATATATATATATATGTATATATGTATATAAATATATATATACATATATATATATATATATATATATATATATATATATATATATATATATATATATATATACATACATATATATTTGTATATACATACATTTATATATATACATATATATACACACACACATATGTATTTTTTTATTTTTTTTTAACATCTTTGCTTCCAACAAGGCTGCAAGCAACCACTAATTAGTGTTGGAAGTTACTGGAAGAGAAAAGATGAAGATTGTAGAGCAAGATAAAAAATTAACAGACGTCTTAAAAGTATGCAAATTATATGAATCAGGAAAGCAAGATAAAAGAAGCGAATTCCAAAAAACTGATGTTTGAGGAAAAAAACTAGACAAATAAGAGTTTTTGGAGCACTTAGGAACAGTAACAGTAAAAGGATGAGACTTAATTGAATGACGAGTAACACTCGTCATTCAATTAAGTCTCATCTACTAAAATTCATTCATCGAGAATGAATTTTAGTAGATGGCACAAGAGACTATAGCTCTTTAAAGCAGTTCCCATTATAGTATTTGTAGAAAAGAGAAAGAGAAGCAATATTACGACGATGTGACAGAGGTTGAAAGTTGCTGCAAGAGCAGGTCCAATTATGTTTACAATGCGTTTTTGCACGTTGTCTAAAAGAGTAAGGGCATCATTAGAAGATCCGCCCCAGATATGGCAACAGTATTCCATGCAAGGTCTGATTTGAGATTTATAGAGATAGAGAATAGAATCCAGAGTGAGAAAGTGTCCAGCTCGATAAAGAGATGCAACTTTAGCAGATGCTAATTTTGCAATGGATTTGATATAAGATTTCCAAGAAAGATCAGAAGTAAGAGTTAATCCTAGAAGATGAAGGGTAGGAGACTCATCGAGTACATTACCGTTTATAAATATAGGAAGGTCTAAATTATTGCGATAACAATTGGCTGAAAAAAATTGGGTTTTATTTGAATTAAAGTTCACCAGCCACTGTGAGCCCCATGCTGTAGCAGAAGTGAAATCCTTTTCAAGCTCAGATGCCCCTGCAAGCAATCAGAGGGAGTTGGCTTCTTATCATGATAAGAATAAATGGTAGTATCATCAGCAAATAATGCCACCTTAGATGTGAGAATATCTGGAAAATCGTTAATGTAAATTAAAAAGAGTATAGGGCCAAGGATTAAACCTTGAGGAACCCCTGAGGTTACAGAATAAGAAGAAGAGTGCTGTCCATCAAGGACAACTTTTATACTACGATTGGAAAGGAAGGATTCAATAATCTTAAAGAAGTTTCCAGATACACAGTAAGAAGAAAGCTTATGGAGAAGACCAGCATGCCAAACTTTATCGAATGCTTTAGAAATGCCAAGAGCGATGGCCTTAACCTTTCCACCTTTATCTAATGCGTGATAAAACCTATCGGTTATTACTGTTAGCAAATCAGCCGTAGAACAAGAAGATCGAAATCCATATTGATGATCAGAAAGTAGGTTATGAGATTCGAGATGAGAGATTAAGTGTTTGTTAATTAAAGATTCAAAAACCTTGCATATGATAGGAAGAAGACTAATGGGACGGTAGTTAGACGAATCGGATCGCTCTCCAGAATTTTTAAAAATAGGGATAACAGATGCTGCTTTCCAGCAGGCTGGAAAACAAGACTCTGATAAGCACTTGTTAAATAGTTTTAAAAGGATAGACGACAGCTCTGGAGAACACTTCTGCAAGACTATAACAGGTATGCTGTCCGGGCCACAAGCTGTAGAAGATTCTAAGCAGGAAATCACTTTAGATACAGAAGCTGGAGTAATACGGATGTCAAGCAGTGGATCAACCTGTTTGACGGCTATATCAGGTAGAACGCAACTAGTGGAATCAAGAGATGATATTGATGAAACGTTCTTGGCAAACAATTAAGCTTTGTCTTTAGGTGAGGTGACAAAGTCTGAATCGTACAAAAAAAGTGGAATTACAGACTTGCCCTTATTATTGATACTATTAAAGATTCTCCAGAAGTCATGAGAGCCTAATTTTTGTGATAAAATACGAGATTTCATGATCTGAGAATAGCGGGCTTTGGCGACAAAGCCAAATTTTTGTGATAAAATACGAGATTTCATGATCTGAGAATAGCGGGCTTTGGCGACAAAACCTTTTTACAATGGTTCCTAGCAGTAATAAACAGACCTCTGTTTTCTGGAGAATTATTTTGCTGATAGATATGGAAGTAATGGCTTCAATTGGCAATTGCAGCAACACAATGTGAGGAAAATCATGGAGAAGAGTGAAGCTTGACCTGGAATTGTCGAGAGGTAATAAAGGATTCCATGCCAGCCTGAATCCACAAAGTTATATAAGAAGCACATTTGTCAACAGGAAGACGAAAGATTTCTACCCAGGGACCATCACGAAGAAAATCACGGAAAGAGTCCCAGTCAGCTATAGTTAAGGTAGTTGTAAGATGTATAATGATAGGGGGATTCTGATGGTAAAGAAGAATGAGATAATAGTTTTAGAGAGACCAAACCATGATCAGAAGCACCTAAGGGTGAGTGTGGAGAAACTGAGCACTGACTAGGATTAGAAACAAGACATAAGTCAAGTAGAGAAGGTAAATGATTCGGGTTGTCTGGAAAGTGAGTTGGAAAGTTGACTATTTGAGTTAGGGATTGAGAAAGGCAAAAGTTGTGGGCCTAAATGCCTGCGGAGTCACTGACACTAGAGCCAAGCCATTCATTG